TGTTTGTTTGTCATTCATATTCTAATGCATACGTAATAGTTGTTAAAATTCATATCTTAAATTTATGATTTATGTTGCAACGTGATTGGATATGAAACAACAGGCGTTTTCTTTTAAAGTATATATTAAAACAAAAGAGTTTTGGAGCCACCAACAATCTATGCTGTCTCTTTTACCCTTTTGTTTATAATTGTGTAAAGAATAAAGCTATAGGAGGGGTCGCTTGAGTGGCTTGCCTTGAAGCAAGCCACCATAACTCAAGAACAGTGACTATACAATTCATTTCAGGCGAGATTCGAGAACAAAACTCATAAATCTTACCTCCATAGCGTGCAGACCATCGGTTGCTTTGTTCAAAGCCAAATCAGCCTCCAAGCTATCGTTTGAGCAGAAATCTGTGTATCAAAACAAAAAAGTGACATCTAAATATCCAAAGGACCGGACCATGAGGGCATAACTTCTCTCCAATATGCCCATCGACAGAAAATAGCATGTACAAACTTATTTATAACATGCCTATTAAATAAGTATCAGCCATTTCATACTTATTTACAAGTTAAACTATCAACGTGAAGTGAAAACAGACGTCACTTAAAGCAAAAGTAGTATAATACCAGTAGCAGTTCACGTTGATAGCAGTTCATTCTTTAGATTCGCCTCTTTTCTGGGTCTCCCTCTCCGACGCAAAGAAACTTTGGCTGGAGGCAAGAACTTTAGGCGGTAACCTATAAGTGCAGTTCCAAAAATGCTATATTTCCCAGTACTGCTGAAAGCTGTTTCAGCATCAGCAGTTCGCTTGAAAACTACTTTGGCTCGTCTACTTTTTTTCATTACTTCAGTCTTCGACTCGTACAGAGGGCCATATTTTCTAAAGATATCATTCAAGTTTGGTTCTGAAGGAATGGAATCGAAATCTGTAAAGGTTAAAATCAGAGCTGTGGGATAGGGATCCTCCACACTATTCTCCGAGTCTGGTTCCATATGTTCGTGAGGCTTATCTTGATTGGTTGAATTCACACCGGTATGGATGACCCTTTCACTTGGAGTCTGAACGTGGGACTCCATATTTTCATTTTGATTTTCAAAATATACTCGATCTTCAGCTATTCCCTGGATTAATCTATCAGTCCAATAAGTGTCCTTAATAAATTCAGACTCAGATGTTTTTACTGAGGCTGAAATGTTTATTCTTTTCTTTGTCTTAGTCAACTTATTACCAGTGTTCCCACCAGAAACTAGTTCTGAAGTCTCCTGTATGCGCTTTCTGCCTCGTCTCGTCTTGGAAACAACTTTTAGAGATATTCCATCCTCGTGCTTCAATATTGGATTCGACTCATTCAATTCAGCAACCTTTTGAATGGAATCTCCAACTTTACACGTTTGGCCAGTCTTCCTAAAATCAACAAGAGCTATTGGAATGTTGATACCAGTACATACCTCATCTTTTGTACTTGAAGCATGCAAGTTCAATTCATAGCCATCATTCTGTTCAGATCTATGTTTTTTCTTCCAGCTGCGACCAGGCTCCTTGGCCATTGAATTCAGAAAAAAAGTTCCCTTTGTACTAGAGTCTTTTAAATGCTCAGAATTATCTATGCACTTGCCAACGGAGTTGTCTTGAGTTTTCAATTCCCCACTTAAGGCCGCTTCATCATGTTTGATGTCTATACCTATATCCTCCATTGATTCACTTTGATAATCGTTTTTCACATCTAAAATGTGATCAATATCGTTGAACACTACATTGTGTTTATCAAACTTGGGCAGTTCACCATAGCCCTTCCACCGATTGAACGCCAACAACTGAGCACGTGCACGAACTAGTTCTAACTTATCAGCTTCACCAAAAGGTGACATGGCTAATTCCTTAACAATGTAAATAAGCTTCATTGGATCAAAAGATACTGCAGTAAGAAAGCTGTCCCCGCCCACTCTTTTACTCAACATCTTGGGGGTTCCTGCATTAGTAAGTGTTTGAGTTTGGAGCTTGGAATACACTTCTTCTGATAAACAAGAGCAGGCAAGGCTAAACTCAACTCGCCTGGAGAACTCTTCCAAAGCACAATCAATTGCCTGATGAAAACTTTCCAATTTGTTCTGATTCTGCAACTCCAAAAAATATTCCTGAAATGGTTTTATCATCGCTGCTTCTTTCCATGCAAATGTATGATCCCCAAAAAATGCTATCAGATATTTGCCTGTTCTAAAATATTTCATGGCTTTTATTGATGAAGCTGCTGGATCACATATCTGCCCAGGCCACCAGGGATAGCTCGGTATCTTGCTCCATACTAGATCAAAGACATCGAACTCCATAACCGAATCAGCTGAATCAGCACTGACATCATCAGAAATTTCTTCTTCGTCCATGATAACATGTGGGCCCACTTCAACAGCAACATCAAACAAATTTGCCTCATCCAGATCTGTTAAGACCCCCATCTTCATAATATGACTGTCCATGGCTAGATTTTCAATTGTTTATCCACCATCAATTTTACCACTCTTTTAACAGCAATTTTATCCTCTCCCTTTAATATTGTAGCTTCTTGACTTGGCTAAATGCTTCAAGATTCCAATGGTTCTCAATATCATTTGGGTTACATTGACCAACAGAAATCATTTTTACCATAAGCAACCTTCCCGAGTGGGCTGTGAATTATACTGAGTGTGGCTAGATCAAGTTTCAAGCTTCAACTTTTAAAAGTCCTCAAAGAATTATCTTAGGTGAATACCTCCAGCATAGGGTTTCTTTAAAATCAATGTTGATCCTGCCCCTGCCTTCAGTGGAAATCTACAAAATGCAGCCTTTGATACAGTCATTAGGGAAAACAATTGCAATTATGACTCAATTTGCACATGATGTTTTAAATGTGCAAATGGCTAAAGCAATCGCTATAGGGGGTTGGTTTAGTTATGGCTACGTAGTATTCACCCAATTTGACCCTGAACATAATTCACTAAGTGTTGTGAATAGTTTGATTATTGATAAATTTGAAATTTACCTAACTGTTCAAGATATTTAAGCTTTGGGAGCATCTGAATGGCTAAAGCAGTCGCTGTTAAGGGTTGATCAAGCTATGGTGTATTCATCCAATCCCACTCTAAACCTGATTCACTAGATGTTGTGAATGGTCTGATTGTTCATAAAACAGAATTTGATTATACTTCTCAAGAAATTTAAGCTTCAGGAGCATCTGAATGATTTGGTCGTTGACAATGATAATTTGTCCTTCCATCGTTGAAATTAAAAGTTTGACTTAAAGCTTTTGTCGCTCGGTCAAAGAGTACTCTTATAGCAATGTGTTGAACAGAGACTATATCGTATATGTCAGGCGAGGCCCATAAAGAAACTCATAAAGCTTACCTCATAGCATAGACTGGTCGGTTGTCCAGTTCAAATCAAAATCAACCTCCGAAATCTTGCTTTAGCAGAATCCTGACGATTAATGGAAATAGAAAAGTAAGAAGCAAATGATTGAATGCAAACCTTTGACAAACGCCACATAGAAACAGAGGATCATCAGTCGGTGAACCAACAAAACCAAAAACGAGGAAAAGATAAAAAAGAAGTTAATCCTGCATACATAAAGCTTAGACAGAGAAAAGGAGAAGCGATTAATGAAGATGAAACTCACTCTAGAGCTACGTACATATATCAATCATTAAGACACCAAAATCGACCTCCGTAATCGTGTTTCAGCAGAAATCTACGGATCGTTGTGCGTTAAACCAAAAAACAAGAACCAAAACCAAAGAGAAGATGATGAAGAAGAAGCTCACCATGCTTTAAGCCTATCTGAATCACTGATGCAGATAAACACCGAGAGAGGAGAGATTAAAGAAGATGAAATCCACCCTAGGGTTCGTGAAATTCTAGAAACAGTTTAACTTTCGAGATAATCTTTTGCTCCGATTTTTATTAAATATATTTTTATATTCATTCTTAGAGATCGAATTAGGGTAATCTAAGACTATTTAGATCTTTGTCTTTCCTTATTGGGTCGATGGTGAGTTGCTCCGTATCAATCAATTCCGTTATAAACTTAACCTATTTTAAAAAAGGCAGAATCAAATTTTCATAAATTTCAATATTTCTTACGATATTTGAATTTAATCGATTAATAATTTAATGATGGAATAAAGCAAATTATTGAGCCTCTCCTATGGCTAAATTAAGGGTATGATTATGATACCATGTTAGGAATTACCGACTTTTATTATGATATTATATTGTCACTTTGCATAAGCTTTCATAAATTTTCTTTTTATTATTAAAAAATTTCTCAAATCAATAGAGACGGTGTTCCTTGCTTATAAACTCATCTTTCTCTTAATTAGCCAATATAAGACTATTCTTTCAATAATATTTAACATGTTGGATCATAATAAAACAATTTTAGACATCTAGATCCTAACCCTTTGCGTGGTTAGTATCGGGCATTTTTGTCTGGAAATGACCTATCAAACAACTCATCTATACTTTTCCTAGGGTTGGCTCAACAAGCCCATTTCGGTGATCTTTTTTTCTCTCCTGAATTTCAATTTTAGTCTCTAATCCCGAGAACCAACATCCCCCTTCGTACCTTTTTAAGATATTATTGGCTATGATTCGAACATAGGACCAAGGCTGATAGGAGCCTTTTGAAAAAAAAAAATTTAAGGGATAATTCTAAAGAATTCTAAATTCCTTAAAGAGTAGGGAGAAGGTGTGAGATGATTTTTAGATACCTTACAAAAGTAAAATTTATACGGATTTTGGAAAAATATTTTTCGAATAGGGAATATTATATTTTATTTAAATCTTATTAAATACAGTAAGATATTCCAATTTATATAATTTCAAATACTCTTTAATGCGATGTATATTTTGCGGTCATGCGCTCAAGTTATCCTAAGAAGATCGTGCTTGATCAATTCAACCTTTCGTCATGTACGTGAGTTATACTCGTTGGAGTTGAAGCACAACCCGTAAAGAAAATTCTCTAAATGGTACTTGCGAAGATCGTAGATTAATATTTTATTGATAAAGAGGATAGATTATGATATTAGAGGGGAAAATAAGCATTAATTGTGGGAAAAGGAGGGTTGAAAGAGGTGGAAGTTGAGAGACAATCAATGGATCCAAGTTTGTAGCTGAACCCTTCTAGTGCTTTGATTTGTGCCCTAAGGAACTTCAGATAGCTTGCTGCCTCATCAAGCATGGAGGCAGTGTCCATTTTGCTCCCACCAGGAACTAACCTCTGCAAAGCCCTAATTTTTTCGCTTATCTTCTCTCTTCGTTTCCTCGCTGCCACAGTCTGTGGCTCCTTCGACGTCTTGACGTTCCTCCTCCTCTTCTTCTCCACCGTCTCCGATCCCGAGCTCACTGGCCGAAACACCGCTGCATAGTATACCAATTCTTTCATTTGTGACATGGCTCGATCTCGATTAAAAGGCTTGACTTGGTCGTTGTTCGAAGATGAAGTTGTCGAGTTTTGTTGTTTTGGCTTTTGGTTCTCAAAAATGTCCAAAACTCCACCCTTTGGTGCAATTCCTACATAACAAAATCTCGTGGGTTATTGCATGGAAATCTAAAGCTAATTTATAACGTTAAATATTAAACCTTTGTCATCTTCCATCGAAGCTCCCTCATCCTTTGCCATCTCTGGTAATCTCGACATTTTTGAAACTATCTGAAGCTCTTGTAATGGAAGATTCGAACAACGACTCGGGTCATCGAGGACGAATAAGCTTTCGTTACAACGGTTGCCTTCTTCGTTGCTCCACGAGCCATTCCAAAGCAAATCATCCATGATTAAAGGGTTTTGGAGTTTGAGGAGAAGACACAAGGGAGAAGGGTTCTTCGTTTTTGGGCCTTGCCGATTTGGTGCAATGAGATGTCCTCATAAAGTATGTTGAATTGTCTCTATTTGCTTTTTTTCCAACCAAAGTATTCAATGTATAATAATAATATACTTTCTTATTATACATTCGCCTCGTTTCTCACGATTACATTTAAATGAAATAACGATGAAGATAAATACGACAACAATTTTTTTAGTTTAAATGATTCGAATTTCTAATTTTTTTGATAGAGAAGATAATGTGTTATATCGTTTGAGCTATACTCATGTTTAGAGTCGTCTACAAGACGAGGCGGGAATGAGGAAGCCTTGTCAGTCCTTATAACTGCTCCCTATTTCAACCTTCATTCTTGTTAAATTTTCTATTTATTTTAGTGGTATTTCATTGAATTGGGCTCACCGTGGATAATTTTTTCCAATCATTAGAAAACAACTATAATAGACTAAGACATCACATAAATTGACTGAGTCGGTGGTGCGTCATATCTATTTTTTCAAAATAATAATTAAAATAAAATTTATACCCTCAAATTTAATAATTATATCAAAATAATTGTATAAATACAAAAATTAATATATTATTAAAGATATATATTTCTAATTTTTTTCTTCTTATTTAACAATAATGTAAATATTTTGTTGCTATTTTAGTGTGCTTTGAAGTAATAATAACTTAATTTAAGTAAATTTTAATTTATTTGATATTTAAAAAAAAGCAGGTAAAAAATCCTAGGAAACCCTCCATTTGAAGGGAGGCCCATTAGGAGACAAAAGGGGACCACTATAAGACAAAAGGAGGCCCATTTGAGTGTATTCTAAGACGTTGAGGATGAGGTAGTAGGGCAAATACAATGAATCTATTCTATTCAAACAAACAAAACCTAAACAATTCAACATTGCTCTTTCGATTGCCCTTTTCTTTTCCAAAGGGTTTTTTTTCTTTTTTTTTTAATCTATTTTTGGATATTCTAGAGAATTGTTTTAGATAATCTGATCAGACTGTCGATCTTATCGCATTGATTTACACATTGTAAATAACCGTTAAAAAAATATATATTTATTTAATTTTATAATTCTATAATTTAAAAGATATATTTTATTAACTAAACTCGGTAAATCTTATCAAATAACAGTCCATCTGTTAAAAAAATATATATTTATTTAATTTTTTAATTCTATAATTTAAAAGATATATTTTACTAACTAAATTCTATATATTTATCACATTGTAAATAACAGTCAGTCTGTTAAAAAATATATATTTATTTAATTTTCTAATTCTATAATTTAAAAGATTTATTTTCTAATTCTATAATTTAAAAGATATATTTTACTAACTAAACTCTGTAAATTTTATCTCATTGTAAATTATTAAAAAAAATATATATTTATTTGATTTTCTAATTCTATAATTTAAAAGATATATTTAACTAAACTCTCTAAATCTTATCGCATTGTAAATTGTTAAAAAAAATATATATTTATTTAATTTTCTAATTCTATAATTTAAAAGATATATTTTACTAACTAAACTCTGTAAATCTTATCACATTGTAAATTGTTAAAAAATATATATATTTATTTGATTTTCTAATTCTATAATTTAAAAGATATATTTTACTAACTCTGTAAATCTTATCACATTATAAATTGTTAAAAAAAATATATATTTATTTGATTTTCTAATTCTATAATTTAAAAGATATATTTTACTAACTAAACTCTGTAAATCTTATCACCTTGTAAATAAGAAAAATATATTTATTTGATTTTCTAATTCTATAATTTAAAAATTGTTAAAAGAAAAATATATTTATTTGATTTTCTAATTCTATAATTTAAAAGATATATTTTACTAACTAAATTATGTAAATCTTATCACATTGTAAATTGTTAAAAAAAATATATATTTATTTGATTTTCTAATTCTATAATTTAAAAGATATATTTTACTAACTAAACTCGGTAAATCTTATCACCTTGTAAATTGTTAAAAGAAAAATATATTTATTTGATTTTCTAATTTTATAATTTAAAAGATATATTTTACTAACTAAACTCTATAAATCTTATCACATTGTAAATTGTTAAAAAAAAATATATATTTATTTGATTTTCTAATTCTATAATTTAAAAGATATATTTTACTAACTAAATTATGTAAATCTTATCACATTGTAAATTGTTAAAAAAAATATATATTTATTTGATTTTCTAATTCTATAATTTAAAAGATATATTTTACTAACTAAATTATGTAAATCTTATCACATTGTAAATTGTTAAAAAAAATATATATTTATTTGATTTTCTAATTCTATAATTTAAAAGATATATTTTACTAACTAAACTCGGTAAATCTTATCACCTTGTAAATTGTTAAAAGAAAAATATATTTATTTGATTTTCTAATTTTATAATTTAAAAGATATATTTTACTAACTAAACTCTATAAATCTTATCACATTGTAAATTGTTAAAAAAAAATATATATTTATTTGATTTTCTAATTCTATAAATTAAAAGATATATTTTACTAACCGGTAAATTGTTAAAAGAAAAATTATTTATTTGATTTTCTAATTCTATAATTTAAAAGATATATTTTACTAACTAAACTCTGTAAATCTTATCACATTATAAATTGTTAAAAAAAATATATATTTATTTGATTTTCTAATTCTATAATTTAAAAGATATATTTTACTAACTAAACTTTGTAAATCTTATCCCATTGTAAATTGTTAAAAAAAATATATATTTATTTGATTTTCTAATTCTATAATTTAAAAGATATATTTTACTAACTAAACTCGGTAAATCTTATCACCTTGTAAATTGTTAAAAAAAATATATATTTATTTGATTTTCTAATTCTATAATTTAAAAGATATATTTTACTAACTAAACTTTGTAAATCTTATCCCATTGTAAATTGTTAAAAAAAATATATATTTATTTGATTTTCTAATTCTATAATTTAAAAGATATATTTTACTAACTAAACTCGGTAAATCTTATCACCTTGTAAATTGTTAAAAAAAATATATATTTATTTGATTTTCTAATTCTATAATTTAAAAGATATATTTTACTAACTCTGTAAATCTTATCACATTGTAAATGGTTAAAAAAATATATATATTTACTTGATTTTCTAATTCTATAATTTAAAAGATATATTTTACTAACTCTTGTAAATCTTATCACATTGTAAATTGTTAAAAGAAAAATAAATTTATTTGATTTTCTAATTCTATAATTTAAAAGATATATTTTACTAACTAAACTCTGTAAATCTTATCACATTGTAAATGGTTAAAAAAAATATATATTTATTTGATTTTCTAATTCTATAATTTAAAAGATATATTTTATTAACTAAACTCTGTAAATCTTATTACATTGTAAATGGTTAAAAAAAATATATATTTATTTGATTTTCTAATTCTATAATTTAAAAGATATATTTTACTAACTAAACTCTGTAATTGTAAATTGTTAAAAAAATATATATATTTATTTGATTTTCTAATTCTATAATTTAAAAGATATATTTTACTAACTAAACTTTGTAAATCTACATTGTAAATTGTTAAAAGAAAAATATATATTTATTTGATTTTCTAATTCTATAATTTAAAAGATATATTTTACTAACTAAACTCGGTAAATCTTATCTAAATTGTTAAAAAAAATATATATTTATTTGATTTTCTAATTCTATAATTTAAAAGATATATTTTACTAACTAAACTCTGTAAATCTTATCACATTGTAAATTGTTAAAAGAAAAATATATATTTATTTGATTTTCTAATTCTATAATTTAAAAGATATATTTTACTAACTAAACTCAGTAAATCTTATCTAAATTGTTAAAAAAATATATATATTTATTTAATTTTCTAATTCTATAATTTAAAAGATATATTTTACTAACTAAACTCTGTAAATCTTATCACATTGTAAATTGTTAAAAGAAAAATATATTTATTTGATTTTTTAATTCTATAATTTAAAAGATATATTTTACTAACTAAACTCTGTAAATCTTATCACATTGTAAATTGTTAAAAAAAATATATATTTATTTGATTTTCTAATTCTATAATTTAAAAGATATATTTTACTAACTAAACTCTGTAAATCTTATTATAGTGTAAATTGTTAAAAGAAAAATATATTTATTTGATTTTTTAATTCTATAATTTAAAAGATATATTTTACTAACTAAACTCTGTAAATCTTATCCCATTGTAAATTGTTAAAAAAAATATATATTTATTTGATTTTCTAATTCTATAATTTAAAAAATATATTTTACCAACTAAACTCGGTAATTCTTATCACCTTGTAAATTGTTAAAAGAAAAATATATTTATTTGATTTTCTAATTCTATAATTTAAAAGATATATTTTACTAACTAATTTCTGTAAATCTTATCACAGTGTAAATGGTTAAAAGAAAAATATATATTTATTTAATTTTCTAATTCTATAATTTAAAAGATATATTTCCTTGTAAATTGTTAAAAGAAAAATATATTTATTTGATTTTCTAATTCTATAATTTAAAAGATATATTTTACTAACTAAACTCGGTAAATCTTATCACAGTGTAAATTGTTAAAAGAAAAATATATATTTATTTGATTTTCTAATTCTATAATTTAAAAGATATATTTTACTGACTAAACTCTGTAAATCTTATCTAAATTGTTAAAAAAAATATATATTTATTTGATTTTCTAATTCTATAATTTAAAAGATATATTTTACTAACTAAACTCTGTAAATCTTATCACCTTGTAAATTGTTAAAAAAAAAAAATATTTATTTGATTTTTTAATTCTATAATTTAAAAGATATATTTTACTAACTAAACTCTGTAAATCTTATCACATTGTAAATTGTTAAAACAAATATATATTTATTTGATTTTCTAATTCTATAATTTAAAAGATATATTTTACTAACTAAACTCTGTAAATCTTATCACATTGTAAATTGTTAAAAAAATATATATATTTATTTGATTTTCTAATTCTATAATTTAAAAGATATATTTTACTAACTAAACTTTGTAAATCTTATCCCATTGTAAATTGTTAAAAGAAAAATATGTTTATTTGATTTTCTAATTCTATAATTTAAAAGATATATTTTACTAACTAAATTCTGTAAATCTTATCACAGTGTAAATGGTTAAAAAAATATATTTATTTGATTTTCTAATTCTATAATTTAAAAGATATATTTTACCGATTAAACTGGCTATTATTTATTTATATAAAAGAATAGATTAAAAACATGCATTTAGAAAGATTTTTATGAATCTTAGAATTGACGAGTTTAATTTCTTTATTTTCTAAAACTAAGTATGAATACTAACATAGTTTTCTTCGTTTATTACTTGCCTTAAAAAATGTTTTAAACAATAAAACTAAATTAAAAAAAATTAAAAAAATACATTTTGTTTTTTTTGTCAAATTTATCTCATGATTCCATTGTATTTTGTTAAAAAAAATGAAAATATTTAACAATAATAATAATAATAATAACGAGGTACCAAAACAAAATACCAAACATACCCTTGAAAGATGAGTTCGATATCATTGGGAAAATTATATATTTTCAGATTATTTATTTAATTTAATTAAAAATAGTATTTTTGTAGAAGGAAATCGTCCAACCTAATCCTTGTGCTGCCATGCACGTGAATACCACGTTTGTAGCATTGGTAATCCATCGTGGCATCCTATGGCTGGTTGGAACTTTGATGGAATGACATTTAGCCACGTGGGATCCATGCTGGAAAATGGGATTCTTTATTTATTTATTTTATTACGAGTATTTTAGTTAGCCATTTGATCCAAGAATTTATATTTTGACTGAGAATATATAATAGGTCAAAGACAACATTCAAATTCGTATGCGACGAAAAAAAAACATTTATTAAATATTTTAGGTCAAAGACAACATTCGTCACATCAGGAATTAAATAAAACAGGCCCAATTCACCGAGTCAATAACTTTATTGGGCCGGAGTGGCCCACGTAGGTTAAAGTCTGACTTTCGACGGTCGGATTGAACGTTCCCACTACACGACAAACAAAAATTTGCCCCTCTTTAAGATCATACATTGAATCATCTACAACTCGGGTCGTATTCTGGGCCCAAGGCCCAACTCCACCCAATACACCCGAAATGAGTCCCACGGCTTTACTTCATCGTAATAATAATAATAATTCCTTTTTTATATTCTTTATTAATATTATACTAAATTAATAAAAATACTCCTCTTTAAACTATACAAATTTAACTTTTCTAGTATTATTATTTTTAGAATAAGAATTGTCTAGAACATATTAGAAGAGTATTGGTTTTTTTTTTTAAATAAAAAAAGAAAATGAAATAAAATAAATCCTAAATTTATTAAATTCAAATTACTGTCATGCTAAAAGTTACATGTTTTTGAAGTTCACGAGAAAAACAAAAAACAAAAATAGACATTCATACGACAATTGGTTTTTTTTTTTCTCTTGTTTTATTCTGTCTTTTTTTTTTTTAATTATTGTTTATATAATTTTAAATATTCAATTTTAATTCATGTAATTTAAAGAAATCTTAACAATAATATTTATCGTTAGTTTATTATTTTTAAAATGGTCTGTATTATAATTCTCCTTAAATTTTGAAAATATATTCTATAATATATATTTTTATGTAAAATTATGATTATTATTATTCTTATCTAATTTCGAAAATTGAGATATAATTTGGTACTTTTAACTTTTCTATTTTTGTGTTATATTTCTTAGAGCTCATTTGTTAAACATTAAAAGTTCCAGTGGCTTTAAATACTAAAAAATGAAACATTTTTTTTAAAAATATTTTGAAAAAAGATTACTAATTAATCTGTATACTAATTTTTTTTTAGTTTGCTTTTTTTAAATTTATTTCAAATAATAATAATAATTATTATTATTATTTATCTATATATATATATAATTCGAGTGAGATTGATATGACACAAAAGCATATATGGTATGATATTTCTTTTCTCCATGTATTCATTATGTTCTTTATTTCTCATTTAGTAGAAACTAATCGAACTATGTCTGAGCTCCCAAAAGCGGAAGCGAAACCAATCGAAAGCTATAATGTAAATCATAAAATAAGCGCCATAAAAACGCTAAAAAAAATTAATATATAGTAAAAACGCTAAAAACAGTTTAAAAATAACTTCAAATGAATTCTAAATTAATAAACCAAAATAATAGAAAATAGGATTATTTGGGTTGGGTTGGAATACTTTTTTAGGCTCAACCCATTGTTCGGGAGTAAATTTTTCAATATAAACAATCCGTATTAAGTAATGAACTCAATAAAATTGTTCACTTGAATTAAGTGGTAAGTTAACAACTCAATTTCAATATATATTTTTACCTCGTTTGGAGAATAAATAATAAAAAAATAATTATAAAAATAAAATAAATAAATGTAATATAAATGTATCATACCAAAAAAAATATATATATATTAATTAGAAGAATTCATGAACCAACCAAATTGATAAAATTTCCATATTTATTTGAACCCAACCTAATCCAAGTTCATAACACAACCTAAATTAGATTTTTCAAATCATCAAGTTTTTTTTTAACATCTTTAATAGAAAAATAGAAGTTCGACAATTATATAGTGATGGATTGAACCATCATCCTTAAAAATGATAGTTGATATCTTATTTACTAAGCTATACTCGAATTGAATGAAATTAACTTTCTTTTAAAAAAATGTCATTCTAAAACTTTGGAAGAAGTTAGGGACGAGAAGAATTAGATTAGATGACGATACATATAGAATAAATATAAATTAGATAATTAGTAAACAGAATCATTAATTTTTCAACCACGACCCAATAATCAATAAGAAAGCATATTATAAGATAAATAACCAATGTTTTTAATTCATAATAAAAATCCATAAATGATATTAATTTGTAACATAGTGGAACATTTCATACTATATAATAAGATAAATAATCAATCATATAATTGTATATAATTAAAATTGGACTTAATGCCACTCCTTACACTACCAACAAACCACCACACATTTATTTATTTTTTAAAATATATTCATTTTCTCAAAGGCATCCAAATCAATTATAATAATAGCAATAATGATATGACTCATTATTATTACTATTATTATATTAATTGTATTAAATAGTCCTTATTTTTAATTCAAATCAATTAATACGATCAACTTATATATTTATTAAAATGGTCGAATATCTTATCTATACATTATTTTAATTTATTAAAAAATATACTTTGGTAAATTAAATATTTTTGTTTAGGATATAAATTACTCGTTAATTACATGTTTTAGGTTTTAAGGTTAATCCCAATGGATCTGATATCTGAATTACCAGACCCCATTTTGCAGCACATTCTTTCGTTTCTTCCCATCAAGCAAATAGTTCAAACAATTATCTTATCCAAAAGATGGAGCCATCTTTGGCTCACTTTCCCGTCTTTAGAATTCGACACAAACTTCTTTCGGCTCAAACTCGACTTATCCAAAACCGAACAATCAGCTGAGAAAAAGAGACTTCAGCTCATCGACTTCGTGGAACAAACTCTCAGGCAGCTGTGTTAAGAATGAGATAGAAAATATAATTGGGAAGGTGTATATTATCATTGATATTGATATCCTTTCAATAGGAGGTACAAATGAAGAAAATATAAAATAATTAAATAATGAGAATAAAATAAAATATACTATAAATCAAATCATAAATGGAAGAATATTAAGATACAATATTTAAGATATATTTCATAAATAAAATATCTCAACAAGCTGAAATGGCTGAGGAAGTTTAAGCTTCGCGTTGATTTCCCATGGCCAAGCTCGGCAACCGTCGTCGACCGGTGGGTTGGCTACGTGCTCGAGAACGGTGTCCGAGAGCTCGAGATTTTTGTCACTGTGGAAAATGGAAAAAGGTACAACTTGCCTCAGAGTGTTCTTGCAAGCCAGTCATTGACAGTTTTGACCGTTGGTGTTTGCAAATTGTGTCCTCCTTTGGATGGCTTCAGGCTGTTGGGTATGAAAAGGGTAACCCTTTTGGGAGTTTTTGTTGAAGATGAGATCGTAAAAAGATTAGTATCGAATTGTCGTTTCGTCGAGCATATCGAGCTCGATTCTTGCCTCGGATTGAGAAGTGTTTGGCTATGTGATACTCATGAACTCATGACTATGAAGGTTCATAACAATAGTGGGCTGTGTGAGCTTGGGATCAAAGCCATGAATCTTCAAGTTTTTGAGTTTAGAGGGCAATTTCAGCCTTGTTGCATTGATATCAGCTCTTGCAAGAATCTAAAAACTTTGATACTCACCATGGTGGCTATAACAGATGATTGGTTCCATGATTGTATCACTGAATTTCCCATGCTTGAGATGTTAGCCTTGTCTTATTGCCACATGTTGGAGAGCTTGAGAATCTCAAGCTCCCATTTGAAGAAATTCATCTTGTGTGGATGTGAATCCGTGAGGAGGCTTGACATCGATGCTCCTTGTTTATTGGAGCTCGAGTATTCCGGAGATTTGATATCTTTCTCTTTGAACACTCCTGCTCTCTTACGAGCCGATGTCCATCTCTCCCCCACGGATTTTTGATAATTCGTGGTTTGTTAAACAGATTGAATTTCTAGCACATTTCAATCATCTCGAAGTCTTGACGTTGCGAAGTAGAACGGGAAAGGTTGGTTCTTGACGTTAAAAAAACCAAATGATTATCATATGAGATTAATGAAACTCGAGTTTAATATTGTTTGTTGTTTTTTTTGGTGAAGACTGTGGTTATTCCAGAGGAGGTGAGGGAGACATTTGCTTCCCCTTTGTATGGTGTGAAGCATTTGAAAGTTAAGATAATAAAGCCTTTGTTTAGTCCTTCTCTACAAGATCTTGTGAAGGGTTTGCTTTGGATTGCTCCTCAACCTGAGACCATCCCAATTGAGTCTGGTTTTGGTAAGAAGATCTTAAAGGTATGCATCCCTTTCATATCACTCTTTGATCCTTTAAACTTGGTTCTAGACTCGCAAAAATTGATTAAACTGAACCGAGCTTGTGAGTTTCCATATTGGTTGGAGAGGGAAACGAAGCATTTTTTATAAGGGTGTAGAAACCTTTTCCTAGTAGATGTATTTTAAAACTATGAGGTTGATGGTGATACGTAACGGGCCAAAGCGGACAATATCTACTAGCGGTGAACTTTTGGGCTGTTACTAAGGGTATCAGAGCCAAACACCAGGCTTTGTGTTAGCGAGGACGCTGGTCCCCTAAGGGGGTGGATTGTGAGATCCCACGTTGGTTAGAGAAGGGAACAAAACATTCCTTATAAGGGTATGCAAACCTTTTCTTAGTAGACGCGTTTTAAAACCATGAGGTCGATGGCGATACGTAACGAGCCAAAGCGGATAATATCTATTTGCAGTGGACTTAGACTGTTACAAATGGTATCGGAGCCAAACACCGAGTAATGTGCTAGCAAGGATGCTGGGCTCTCAAGGGGGTGGGTTGTAAGATCCCACATTGGTTGGAGAGGGGAACGAATCATTTCTTATTAGGGCGTGGAAATCTTTTCTTAGTAGATGCGTTATAAAACTGTGAGACTGAGGGCGATACGTAACTGGCCAAAGCGGATAATATCTACTAGCGATGAGCTTGGACTGTTACAAATGGTATTAAAGCTAAACACTGAGCGGTGTGTTAGCAAGGACGCTGGCCCCCAAGGGGGGTGGATTGTGAGATCCTACGTTGGTTGGAGGGAGGAACACAAATCTACTAGTGGTGGGCTTGAGTTGTTACAAATTGTATCAGAGCCAAACACCGGACGGTGTGCCACGAGGACGCTAGGCTCCTAGTGGATTGTGAGATCTCACGTCGGTTAGAGAGAGGAACACAAATCTACTAGCGATGGGCTCGGGCCGTTACAAATTGTATCAGAGCCAAACACTCGACAGTGTGCCAGCGAGGACGCTGGCACCCAAAGGAGTGGATTGTGAGATCCTAGATCGGTTAGAAAGAGGAACACAAATTTACTATGAAACATTCCTTACCAGGGTGTGTAAACTTTTATATAGTAGACGCGTTTTAAAATTGTGAGGCTGATATTGAAACGTAACATGCCAAAATAGATAAACATCTACTAGTGATGAGGTTGAATGTTACGGAACTAAATTATAAATATAATATTTATTAGATTTCTCAACTTCACTCTCCTATTTCTTCGTTTGAATTTGGTTTCATTTTCATTTAAGTTTATTGTTCTCTACGTGTTCGTGTTCGTGTCTCAGTTTGGGTATGAAAAGGGAACGGATGAAGCAGTTCATCATTGCTGCTGTGCCTCTCTTCCCATAACATGTTGGAGACATTGCTTAAAAGAGTTGAAATTTGAGAATATTAGAGAGGATGAAGAAAAATATGATTTACACAACTTTTTCCATCAAAATGCACACATCTTGCATTTCAATATCTTTGATCAACATTAGGATTTTCTTCAAATTTTCATAATTATTTTCCAACTCGAACCATTTGATCGATCATACTTCACATACATATATTGTAATATAATTGTAATTTATTTATTTGTTGATAAAATTGCAATGTTATATATATATATATATGTATATATATACACAATGATCACCAATTTAGGAGGAGCTCGACCAAATTTATATGCATGATCGGCCAAAATCAATTGCTAACAACTTAACGAGAGGATTTATTGTCGTATTTATTTTTTATTCTCATCCATCTATAGAAAAAATATCCAGATCAAGATTCAAATGCCTGAATTGTGTCGAGAATTGTTGGGAGTGATTCCCACATCGACTAATTTACGGAATGATCATGTATTTACAAGTGAGGAATACTATCTCTATTGGAATGAGGCATTTTGGAGAATAAAGTCACTAGAGCTTATGTACAGTCTACAATATCATATCATTGTGGACAGTCATGACTCCTAATAAGTTGGGTGTTCAAATTTTTAAAATTTAAATATTCAATACAATTTTAGACAAATACACAATCATTGACAAGTCAACCATGAGAAATTCGGACTTCGCAAACAACGTCGACGTATGCTTGAGCCTCAAATCACATTTGCAAGAAATAGTCGCAAACAACGTCGACGTATGCTTGAGCCTCAAATCACATTTGCAAGAAATATTTTAAAAAACGTGAACGATGAAATACATTTGAAAACAATTTGAAAGAATTGAAGAAAACAATGTTATATACTGGAAGCAAAGAAATACACACCATGACTTAAATAGCATATAACTCATGATATGAAGAATTGATGACTAGTCGCATTCCCCTCTAATACATTTTGGGGCATTTTAGTCGTGTAAGATATAGACATGATTTTGATGAACGGTTATACGCTCTTGTATTGACACAACACGAAATGGTAAATACATATCTAAAATGAAAAACATGTAAATTGGGATTGGATTAGAACATCTCCGACATGCAACCATAAACAACATGTCTTGACCAAGCATGATCGAGACATTCAACATGCAGCCATACACAACACGACTTAGATAAGCATGATTGTGACATGTAGCCTGCAGAAAAAATCCTAAACCTGATAATCGAACCTAGCATTAATCCTTATGATTGGTTGGAGATGGCATGCTATCTCATTGTAATGTTTTTTTTTTTTTGAAACAGCCTTCTTTTATTTAACGTTATAATAAAATGAGCTGTCAAATCTCAATTTATTATTATTATTATTATTCTTATAACGTATGAAATGATGGCGATGCGTGTTGGAGGACAAAAGTGACATTTTTGGTATTATACAGCTCACTTATAAGCATTTCTTTCAAAAACGTTTCAAAACAAATTTGTTATTTTCTCTAATAAGATAAAGTCAAATTAAAAAAAAAAAACCAAATTAAAAACAACTCATTATTTATATTTTTAAAAATATACAAAACTCAGTTTTATACTTAAAAAAAAAATACTGAATTTGGAAAATGTAATAATTATATGACTAAAATGGTAATTTTAACAATTAATATATATTATAAATTAGAAAATCCTAAGACAGATATGGGAATAATTTTTTTATTTTGTTTTATATAGTAATTGAATGCACATTTTACGTTGTATAATATATTAATAATTATTATAAATTTAGAAATAATAATATTAAATTAATTTAATGCATGCCCTCCAAATTATATTAAATTTGAAAACAATACTCCCTTCTCTACCGATGACGAATATTGACTGTCCGGTTTTCTAGGTTTTCTCACCAGATTTCCTTCCTTCCATTCTTCTGTTCTTCTCCTTCTTCACCTTCTTCACTGACCACTGAATTTCAACCAGAGGAATCGATCCTCAAAGCTTCAGTCGCCATTGCCATTGTACAGCCGTTGAACAAGGTAATAATTTACTTACTCTGTACTCCGATTTTTTCATACTGCCATGACGTATATGATGTTCTGAGGTTACGAACTTATTCCATTTGATTTTGCGCAGTAGTGAAGTTTGTGGTGTTTAATTTTGAAATGTTTTCTTGTGGTTTAACTTCGTAGGCATTGTCGATAGGACTGATTTCATTATGGCATATGATGCGTAGCTTGAAGGTTTGGTGTTTTTCGTTTGGTTTTAGGTGTTAGAGTGTGATGTTGAACAATTTTGGTTGGATTTGAGGTTAGTAATGCATTGAAGATTAGTGGTAATGGAGGACGGAAAGGATTTTGGCACTGTAATTCGAATTAATCAAACGAGATATCCTACAGTGAGGTCTCTTCAGTTCTTCTTAATTTTCATAGTACTCGGTCTTTTGGTTTCGATTATTAGTATGAATACCATTAAATATTTTGGAGTTGGAAGTGCTGCCCCTGTTGTATCGTCCTTCAATATTGTTCAGCCTGGCGAGGAAGGGCCAAGTGATATAGATAGTTGGATCAGTCCTTCTTCAAATCTCCTTCACAGTATGAGCGATCAAGAGCTACTATGGCGGGCTTCCTTGGTTCCTCAAGGAAAAGAGTATCCCTTCAACAGAGTTCGCAAGATTGCTTTTATGTTCTTGACAAAAGGGCCTTTGCCGATGGCCCCTCTTTGGGAACGGTTCTTCAAAGGTCATGAGGGGCTTTATTCCATTTATATTCATGCTACTCCATCATACATTGCTGACTTCCTGCCCTCATCAGTGTTTTATAGAAGACAGATTCCAAGTCAGGTACTAGCTTCTTTTTGTACTTTTCGGGTGAAAGAATAAATTCCTTTAGTGTTCCTCTTTTAAGGCCTTTTTTTTATTTATTTCATGAAAAAGCAAGAAATGTTTGAAAACTGAATATTTTTGTGGATATTCTTTGATCCTTTGTTAGAATTTGGATGGTGTTTTGTAATAAAGCTAATGGAGTAGTTCCCATTTGACCTCTCAGAATTGTATGCTTGCTTGAATTGATCCATTGCTTTGCCTAACAACATTAAGAGTCTTATTTCTTTTGGAGGGCATACTTTCATAGCTATGTTTTGCCTTAATTTTCATTGGACTGTTTCGTTAGAAGGAAACCATAGAATTTTCTTTAAGAAGAAGAGAATTTTTTTTTGAGCTTGTAGGATGATAATATTGTTTTTTGTAGCTTTTTCTTGGTCGAAAGTGTCCCGAGTCTGTTTAAGATTCATTTCACACATGTTGCTGATCCTTTTGCTGTTGTGAGAATATTGAATTGAATCTTTTGATTGAAAATTTCTTTTCAACTTATCATAAGAACCATTTAACAGTGTTTACTTGCCTAAGATTAAACTTTTCACCTTCTATTCTCGTTCTGTTGTCTAATTGAGAGCTAGAACATTCACACCGTGGTTTTTCTCTGTGTAGGTTACAGAGTGGGGCGAAATGAATTTGTGTGATGCTGAGAGGAGACTGCTAGCTAATGCATTGCTTGATATCTCCAACGAATGGTTTATTCTCCTGTCCGAGGCTTGTGTCCCTCTCCACAGCTTTACCACGGTGTATGACTATCTTGCGAGATCTCACCACAGCTTTGTACACTCGTTCGATGATCCAGGACCCTATGGAAGAGGACGCTACAACAAGAACATGGCACCTAAGATTAATCTCACTAACTGGCGCAAGGGTTATCAATGGTTCGAAGTCACTCGCGAACTCGCGGTGAAGATAGTTAAAGATAAAACGTACTACTCTTTGTTTAAAAAGTATTGCAAACCAACTTGTTATGTCGACGAACACTACTTCCAAACAATGTTGAGCATGGAATCGCCAAATCTTCTGGCAAACAGAAGCCTTACCTTTGTGGACTGGTCCAGGGGTGGTGCTCATCCTGCTACATTTGGAAAGTATGATATCACAGAACAGTTTATTAAAAATCTTTTTGAAAACAAGAGATGCCTTAACAATGGTCAACCTTCTTTCTGTTTTCTTTTTGCTAGAAAATTTGCTCCAAGTGCCTTAGATCGGTTGTTAGACGTAGCTCACAACGTTATGGGGTTTTGACAAAACCTAGGCTTCAGAGAATTGTTTCATTTTTAGAAGAGGTTCTAATGGGACTTCTCATTAATCCTAGTTTAGAGAATTATAGTTTCTCTTCTCTTCTCTTCTCTTCTTTTAGTTATACAAAGCTGACATAAACACCCTAACATTTTATACAATTTAGAAATCATCTGATTATGCACTCACCTCACCATCAAAAAGTTGAGGTCGACTTGTTCTTCGACTTGTCGGTAGAACTCGCACAATCTTCAGTAAGTCTTGAGAACTTTCCCATTTTTCTCTCCATGCACTCTCTCTCGTTTGCCCGTGTGTTGGACAGGTTTGGAGAGCTCTCGTCGTTGTCTACCATTATGTTCAACCATCATCACCAAGAGACCTCGCATGAAGAAGAAGAATCAGTTAGCTAGTCAATGGTCTAGTCAATGGTCTAGTCAGTCTGGTTAACGTGGTTCAATCTAGTTTAGTCAACAGTCAATGATCTAATCAATGGTTTGGTCAATGGTCAGTGTAGTTCAACCTGGTTGATGCATGAGTATTGGTTTTCTCATACTTTTGGTCTTGTTCAACTCAATTTATTGCTGGACACAAAATAAGATGTCTTAATCATGACACAAACACTTCGGGTGGATGACAGGATTGTACCATACATGTTTGAATTTAGTGAGGCTTTATTGTATTTTCAATTTTAAAGTATTATTTTCAAAGTTTAAGTTACAATTAGTCAGTGATCATTGTGATATTGATAGTCACGAGAGTTAAGCCTTTTCAATTGACCACATGTTATTCTTGTGTTTATTTTTAAGGCTATAAATAGTCATTCACGTTGTTCATTCACATTTTGGATATTAAAATGAAAGTTGCATACAATGCTTTTTAAGCCATGAACGTGTTCCTTAACATTTCTTGTGTTTAAACTTGCATGATAAAGTGATTCAAGTAATCTTAATCAATTTATCTTGTTGAGTAATTCAAATCACGAACTTAGAAACGAGTTTTCTTTACTCTTGATCTTGGTTATCAAGGCAATTTGTTCCAAAAACTTTATTTTGAGTTGATTTTTATCGTTTTTTGGGTTCTTCCATTATTTAGATTTGATGGTTTTGTTGTTCAGTAAAGTTGTTAGATCACGTATATAATATATGGATGACTAGGTCTTTACTGGTATCATATTGTTATATATGTGTGCACATACCGTTGTTTTATGAATTGTTTTGATACTTGTGCATACTTGAAAATGATATTTTGAATCAACATGTGACCTTTTGTATGGATGAAAATTTAAAACAGTTATATGTTTGCTTGCAAAAATTTAATAATTATCTATCTATATGTATAAAACAATTACCTATACGTGTGCATAAGAATTACATTGGACAACGTGACATGACAACGAAGGTAATCTACAAACATTGTGTTGTGATTTTGACGTATAGAATTGTTCAACTGTGAGAGTTAAATAGTTTTAAACGGTTTTTAGGTATTTTGACTTTGCTATATTTTGTGGTGTATGTATGCATATCTAAACTAAATATAGGAGTTACTTAGTGAATATTTTTAAATACTCGAAATTTTTAAAGGTATTTTAGGTAAGGAAAACGACGTGCTAGGGTTGTTAGCTTTCATGTGAGACTGCCCTCAAATTGTTTTATGGAGCTTTCTATCTTCCAATATTTTCTGATTTGTTTCAAATGTTTCGGTATGAGTTTGCGATTTGCATGTTTTCGTTGTCCAGTTTAAATATAACGTCAATATGCATTTGGTAATTAACCTGAATTGGTCTTGGGTTTTAAAACCTAGGTCGGTCTAGGTTGTTAAGGACTTCTCCAAGATAGCTATCCCTTACTTAGATGACTAAGAATGAGATTTTGTTGACTTTGAGCGAAGATTAATGATTGTTTTTAAGAGCTCAAGCGAAGACTTGTTTTGGCTCTAATGCTTACAGTGCCGGTTTCGTAGTATATAGCAACGCCTCAAAGAAAGGATTTAGTTGCATTATGATGCAACATGATAAGACTGCTACTTACCGACTGTGATAATTGAAATATTATGTGCGTAATTAGGTAACACATGATTTGGAGCTAGTAGCGGTAGAGTTTGTCCTAAAAAGATTTGGAGGCATTACTTGCACGAGGAGATAGCCTAAACCTTCATAGGCCATAGAAGCATTTATTACGTCATTGGAAGAACTATTGGTTTTTATATTTGGTCAAGTTTCCAAAATGGTAAGCATATTAAATCACGAATAAAAGCTATTTTCACTCCTACAAATCAAATAAAAGGACAAACCTTTATAGACAGAAGTTCATAACTTATTGGGGGATTAAGATAGAGTCGCATATAATCAACATTAATATTCTCAATTAATGGACTTACAAAAAATACTATTTAGTCATATACCCACTCACATGTCTCTATATAAATCATTTAGATAAAACCATTTGTAACAGTTATAAAGTGAGCCATATTAAGGCATTTACTTGGACAAGTCACCCAATCTTATACATATACTATAAACTCTTTAGATTGTTATTTGAACATAATTCTTCTATATGTCAACCACGTACGGTTCAAGATTACATTAATAACTTGGATTTTTCATACAATATATAATATTAAATTAAAAAATAAAAATAATCAAAACTATTATTAAAAATTAAATAATTAATTACGAGTTTTTATGGCATAGATTCCAACATGAGTTCTTGTTGATTTAGGCACATTTTGATATGAGTAGGTTCAAGGGTTATTGTAGCTTTCCTAGCATGATAAATTAGCCATAAACTGATTCTCTTATACATAGAAGGTTGTCGGTGAAAATGGATTCGATTGGGATTGAAACTATGTTGTTGTTAGCTAAATGAACCACTATTTTTAATGTTTTCAAATTTTAGATATGTGTGCATATTGTGGTTGGTTGTGGGTACATAAAAATGATATTTTGAACCAACATGGGACCTTTTGTATGCACGAAAACCTAAGATAAGTTTTGTATGCACGAAAACATAAGATAATTACTTATTTACATGCATAAGAATTATATTAGAATGCAAGATAATTACCTATGTGAACCTGAGAATTACATTACATTTTGTGATATTATTTCGGAGACAATTACTTTTAAGTGCGTAAATGTGATGTGGTAGGGGATTGGGCTGGTTGATTTCGGAAACGTGCAGCGTTTCACCTTCTTGGAACATTTGGGCTGGTTGATTTCTGGTAGGTACAATAACAGATGAAGCTTAAATGGAAAGAACAGAATACAGATGCTGTGGTAGGGGATTGACATTAGTACCAGCTCAATGAGATCATATAATCAAGCGGGTCGATAGGCAACTTACAATTCATCGTGTCGTTTTTCGTCTGGTAAAGTAACTTGTGAGGGGAGTTCAAGGAGATATCTTGTAGCCAATGATGCATGAAGAGCTGCGCCATAAGGGAGTGCATCTTCATTGATACGAAAGTAAGAGGAATGCGCGGAATCGAGCTGACCCAACGTTTCATTGTTCATTCCAAGAAAGAAGAAGTACCCCGGGATCATCTCTTGGTAAAACGAAAAATCTTCAGATCCCATAACTGGTTTCATGTCCTTGACCTTGTCAATGCCAAGCATATCTCCTGCAACATTTTGGAAGTGTTCGTGCAACTTGTTATCATTCACGGTTGGAGGGAAAAGAGGTATCTCATTCTCGAAAAAATCGACTGTCCCATTGCACCTGTGCACGGCAGCTTGTCCGGTGATAACCTATAAAAGGAGCAAATGAGACTATCATGTCAAAGATTAACATATTAAGATGGCATATTAAGATGTAATAATGATAACGAGTGTTACAACCCAAGCCCACCGCTAATACATATTGTCTGTTTTGGCCTGTTACGTATCGCCGTCAGCCTCACGGTTTTAAAACGTGTATACTAGGAAAAAATTTCCACACCCTTATAAGGAATGTTTTGTTCCCCTCTCCAACCGATGTGGGATCTCACAATCCACCTCCCTTGGGGACCTAGCGTCCTCACTGGCCAACCGCCCGATTTCTGGCTCTGATATCATTTGTAACAGCCCAAATCCACCGCTAGTAGATATTGTCTACTTTAACTCGTTACGTATCACCATTAGCCTCACGGCTTTAAAATGCGTCTGTTAGGAAGAGATTCCCACATTCTTAAAAGGAATGTTTCATTCTCCCCTCCAACCAACGTGGGATCTCCAATTACTCTAGCAAATATCACTTTTCATCTGACTTGAGTACATTATTATGTTAATGGTAATCCTAAAGACCATTCTGTTCTCAGAAATCGAGTGTCAAATGCGAAACAGCCTTTTAAGGAAAAAAAAAGCTGATGAAGTCAGTGAAAGTGTTCACTTTGCAACTCAAATTTGTATACCTCTTTAATGCGTTGCTTAAGTTGAATCAAGCTACTCTTCAAGAAAGCTCGGAAAGTGCCACCTATTGCGACAGAATCTGGAATTACATTGAATGCACCACCTCCTTGAAACTTAGCAACTGTTACTACCTGCACGTTCCACTGTGTGAATAGGATTTCTTATTTGCAATAAAAGCAAGCTATTTGATTGTCAGTGCAACCTTCCTCGCAAATATATTTAGAAGCAGAGGATTGAGCACAAGGGTAATGCAGCAACAGCCCAACAAATAAATACATTAACACCATATACGTGTAACTATTTTAAGAAAATAGGAATATGGAGAGGACAATGCATTCCCGGATGTAATAGCCTAACTCCACTGCTAGTAGATATTGTCCGCTTTGGTCCGTTATGTATCGCTGTCAGTCTTACGATTTTAAAATGCGTCAGTTAGGGAGAGGTTTACACACCCTTACAAGAAATGTTTCATTCCCCTCTCCAACTAATGTAGAATTTGACAATCCACCCCTCTTGGGGGCCAACATCCTCGCTGGCACACCACCGGGTGTCTAGCTCTGATACCATTTGTAACGGCTCAAGTCCACTTCTAACAAATATTGTCCGCTTTCGTCTGTTAGGTATCGCCATCAACCTCACGGCTTCAAAACGTGTCTACTAGGGAGACGTTTCCACATTCTTATAAGGAATGCTTCGTTCCCCTCTCCAATCGATGTAGGATCTCACACCTGACCTAACTCTTCACAGACAATATTGTATCCATGCTTCTTAGAAAAAATAAAATAAAATAATGACATTCTTGATACTTGGGAATAGAGCCATCTCTAATAGATCTCTTGTGTGCCTCAGTTACAGGAATTCATAAGCACCCCCCCATCTTGTGTGCCTTAACAATCTGATACCTTGACTGCATAATTCATCCAAACAAAATAGGAAAAGATAGCTTACCGGGGAATCTAGTGGATCAGCTTCTCTTGAAACAAGATGTTGTAAGCTAACAACCACGTTAGATGCAGCCACAATTGGGTCTATAGAATGCTGGGGAATTGCAGCATGGCCTCCTTTTCCGCTGATAACAGCTTCAAAGGCGCCGCTACCAGCTAACATGGGTCCTGGCCGTCCAGCCACTTCACCGAGAGGTATATAATGAGCAACATGCAAGCCAAAGATGGCATTGACATTATCCAACACTCCAGCTTCTATTATTTTCTTAGCGCCTCCACCTCCTTCTTCAGCTGGTTGGAAAACTAGTACAACTGTCCCCTGTTGAGTGAATAAAATCAAAGCATACTTACTTTTCTGTAGGGATTTTGTTTGCACCTAACACAGTTGTAGGGAAATTAATCCACGAGATGCATACTTACTTTCAACTCCTCACTATGCTTTTGAAGGATCTTTGCAGCACCTAATACCATCGCAACATGAGCATCGTGACCACAGGCGTGCATCTTCCCAGGAACCTTACTCTTATGCTCCCACTCCACCAATTCCTGTAAGAACCAAGTTTCACCCACTAAAAAATTCAAAAAAATCCTGGAAAATTGCTGTTCAATTCATTGTCAAAGCATCAAAATATAACGAACAGAACAAAGGTACGATCATCGATGTTTTGGCATTTAATCAAACACCTGGCGTGCAAATTTCACTCTACATTGAAATATCAACTATAAGCAATCAGAAAAGAGTTCTTTATGTCAACCAATCGATTCAAACCTGCATGGCAAGAGCATCCATGTCCGCTCGAATGGCCACAAAAGGGGGCTGACCAGAACCAATATAGCCGATGACGCCAGTATTTGCAACCGGGTATTTATAAGAAATGCCCAATTTATCTAACTCTGTTCTAATCAACTTACTGGTCTCGAATTCCTCATAACCAAGTTCTGGGTTCTCGTGAATTCTCCTACGGATTCCCACCATCCAATCAAACAGCTCGGGTTCCTTAGCAAATTGGAGGAACATTTTAGGAATTTCTTTGAGCTTATTTGAATCGGATGAAGAATCTGGATACACAAATGTTAAAACAAACAAATGTGCAATCAAAATCCAAGAAACCCACCTGAGGGAAGCCATGATTATTGGCTTCGCTGCAGAAACAAGAGATTGAAAGAGTGAAATTAAGAGTTGAAGAAGAGAAGAAACTGAAGAGCGCTTCTCTGTCAGAATTAATAAGAAAATTTACTTACAGAGTGGCGTCCGCGCCTCTTCTTCCACGTAATCATTTGCATTTCCAACGTGTTGGATTTCAATGATTTAAAATAATAAAATTTTTAATATTTTACTTTAAAAAATTCACTCATAATTCTATTCTTTATAATAATTTTTTTTAATGAAATGGTTTAATTAAATAAAAATTAATTTCAAGGGAACGTCAAAACTATTTTTAAAAATTATTTATAGTATAATATTCATTTTTGAATTAAAAATACTAATATTAAAATAAAATAAAGTTCCACAAAATTACACCTAGACGTAACAACTTACTCATTTAAGCATTTAAGCAAAGTTTCTTTCTATTAAATACGTGAAGAATTCAAAATTCCACCTAAGCGTAACAACTTACTTATTTAAGCAAAGTTTATTTCTATTAAATACTTGAAGAATTCGAGTGATATAAGACAAAAATATATAATGAGACAAAATAGCCAACTTTCATAATAAAAGTACAAAATAAATAATAATATAAATTACGTCTTTTTTTACACTCATACCATTTCAAGAATAAATATGATTAATGAAATTATGTGATATCCCACGTTGGTTGGAGATGAGAACGAAACACGGTTTATAAGGGTGTGGAAACCTTTCCCTAGAAGCAGGCCATGTGGATTACCTAGGGTCTTCTTCAACTAATGATATCTTAATCCAAAAGCTTCCAGAGTGTTGAATGATGAAAGTCACACATCGGCTAATTTAGGGAATGATCATGAGTTTATAAACAAAGAATGCTCCCTCTATTGGTACGAGGCCTTTTAGGGAAGCCCAAAGTAAAGCCATAAGAGCTTATGTCACACATCGGCTAATTTAGGGAATGATCATGGGTTTATAAACAAAGAATGTTTCCTCTATTGGTATGAGGCCTTTTAGGGAAGTCCAAAGTAAAGCCATAAGAGCTTGGGCTCAAAATGGACAATATCATACCATTGCGGAGAGTCGTGTTTGTCTAACATAGTATCAGAGCCTACCATGCCCTAAACTTAGTCGTGCCAACAAGAGGAAACTGCAGTTCCTGAAGTTTATAAAATGATTTTAACCGTCCCTCACTGAAGTCTACTGATATTTATTTTAATCTTAATTTAAAAAATAAAGTTACACGACCGTAAAATATAACCTAATCGATTATTCTTAACCGTCCCTCACTGAAGTCTACTGATATTTATTTTAATCTTAATTTAAAAAATAAAGTTACACAACCGTAAAATATAACCTAATCGATTATTCTTAGAAATATATTATTATTTAAAATCAAACCCCACATATATTTTTAATAGAAATAAAATTTTTCAAGAAAAAATATTTTGAAATATATTATTATTTAAAATCAAAACCCCACATAAAATCTAATAAAATTAAACATGTAATTCATCTTTTGAAATTTTCACCGTATCATGTTTATTTGTTCCACTTGATTTATAAATTTTGTAAATTATTTATATTTGAAGAAAAGTTGAGACATTTTAATTAATTAAATACCACTAAATATTAGTATGTGAGACTCTAAAAAAGCAGTATTTTTAATAATGTATTTACCTTTTTCTCTTTATTTTATGGGAAATCACAATCCTTTTTTAAAAAAAAATAAAAAGGACGGAGAATATTTAAAAGCGAAAACTCCAAACAAAGAATAATAATAATAATAATAAAAAGCTGAAAGATAAGACACAACGTACGATCCCAAAAAAGAACAATAAACATTAAAATCGAGGAAGATATGCACCAAAAGGGTAAATTTTACTTTTAAATTTAAAATTTTGTTTAATAAATATAATCTTCGTTCAAATAAATCATGAAAAATTAATGAAAATTAAATGACATTACTATAATTATTTAGATTAATACATAACATTAAAATTAAAATCGTCGTTAAAATAATTTTAATAATCAATTTTTTTTTCCACGTTGATTTTGTCATACTAATTTATATACGTGGTATTATAAATAATGTTATCTGTACATTCTCATGTTAATAAATTGGTTTTCAGTGAATTTTTATCTTATTTTAATAAAAAGATTCTAGAAATATGGACGTAAACATAAATTCTTATTTTATAAATTAATAAACCATTGTTTACATTAATTTAATTTAAATTTAAAATAAATGTTTAAAGTAACCATTGATAACTCAATTTATTATTATTATTATTATTATTATTATTATTATTATTTTAATTTTAAGTTGGACGTTGAGTTGAGGTTAAAATGCACGTCCCTGTTTGTTGGGCAAACTAAAAAAGGGTAAAAATTGATTTAAAAGATTTTATTTTATCTTTCGAAATTATTGAAATTCTTCCCAAATGTATAAGCCCTTTCTTGCGATGCTTGATTAACAAGGAACGACCTAATTTAATTCGCTTTCTGCTCCGTTGATTCTCTGCTTTGTTGAAACTTTGAAGAATCTCCTTCTAAACAATTGACGAGGTGAATTGTTCTTCTTCTTTTCACAGTTCATCTCAAATTCAACGCCATTCAACTTTACGTTATTTGTTGTTTCTCTTGAAATGCGAAGTTGGGTGGATATCGGGTCAATGCATTTGTTTTCTGAGAGAAATTTTGAATTCTCTGATGGAGTTCTTAATGGGGATCGTGTGCCGGTTGCTGTTTATGATCTTTGAATTATGGAATTCTTGTGGCGACTGATTGGTCTTGCCGGCTTGAATTTGAACCAATGTTTTTTAACAGTTATGAACACTGATAATCCTTCCTATAGTTAGTTTAGGTGCAATTGAATCTGTATGCTGCTGCATTTGGATTTTGATCTCTTAGGGATACTTTTGTGATGAACTGCATAATTTTTCTTTTTTGCTTCTCATTCTGGGTTGCTCTTTAAGTTCTAGATGTTCTGATTTTTCGTTCCTTCACTTTTTGTTTTTTTTTTTGTTGTCTGCTTTTAGCTTATGTGTTCATTTGACAACGATAAACAGGGGCTGCTATTCATGATTTTCTTCAACCAATATTGATAGAGAAGAGATTTGTTGTCCCACATTGGTTGGAGAGGAGAACGAAACATTCCTTATAAGGGTGTGGAAACCTCTCCCTAGTACACGTGCTTTAAAATCTAGAAGGGAAGCTAAAAAAGGACAATATCTGCCCGTGGTTGCCCGTGGTGACTAGAGCTGTTACATTTGTTCACAAATAAATACAAACCTCAGGTGATATGGATGATGAGCAAACCAAACATGATGGTTTGACATTGTTCTCACGAGTACCTTTTTCAAGAAGGAAGAGAAAGAGAAACGACATCGAAAATATAGATGGGATTAAAAAGAAGCAGAATAAGGGTGTGAAAACAGTTGAGCAAGAGATTGAGTCAGTTGATATGATCTCGGAGTTGCCTGAATCTGTTATTCATCATATCTTGTCATTCATTCGAAGTGCAAAAGAGGCTGCTCGAATGAGTATCCTGTCGAAAAAGTGGAGAGATGCATGGAAGTCTTTTTCCATACTAACATTTGATGAACAAAGCTTTCTCAAGACAGAAGTCGATCTTGGTAGTGATCAGCGAAGGCAGATGTTTATTAACTCCATTGATAACTCCTTGCTAAGCCACCTTACACGAAACTTTGGCATTTACAAGCTAGTGTTCCGTGTAACGCCAAAGCTCATCCTGTATCTGAATCGGTGGGTTGGCATTGCGGGGGCAAATGGTTTAGGTGAGCTAGATATCCGTGTTGAGAAGTCACCCAGACATTACATTGTGCCACCATTTATGAACTCTATCAAGACTCTAACTGGATTGAGATTGCATGGTCTTAAATGGTCAAGTTTTGCAGCTTTAGAGTTCAATAATTTGCGAAAGCTGTATCTCCGAAGACTATACGTAGATCAGCAGATGATCGAGAAATTGGCTTCTACCAGTCCTTTAATTATGGATTTGAGAATTGTAGAATGTCGAGGATTAAAAAATTTGCAGATTTCGGGTTTTCGAAAGCTTGAAAGGGTTGACATGTATCAATGTCATGGTCTTAGAAGGGTTGAGCTCCAAGTTACTAGTCTGAACACATTTTGGTTTTGTGCAAAGAATTCTTCACGTTGTAAACTTAACTTAGAGTCCTGCACATCCTTGAAGAGGTTGACATTAGAGAACCCATCTATGACAGATACTTTCCTTAATAAGCTACTTTTCAACTTTCCAGTCCTCGAAAAATTGATACTCAGCAGATGCAACAAGTTAAAGCATATTGAGATATCAAATGTCAAGCTCCGGAGTCTAGGCTTGAGAAGTTGCAACAATCTGAAAATTGTTGATATTGGTACTGTAAATCCTTGTTCATTAGACTATAAAGGCCACAAGATGGTTTTTATGCTCGGTCAGTTGTGCCTAAAGGAGGCAAATTTTTCTTTCGGTTTGAATGAGAAAGACGGTGCAGCTGATATTCCGTGTCGAAATTTAGTCATCCATTCTTTTCTTCGATATTATTGTGAAGGTTTTACGATCATCGTCTGGTTTCATAAGGTAACAATGAGCTGTTCCTGTTTTTGCATACTTGTTCCTGCTAACAACAAGCTTAACGCATCATATGTTTCCTCTTTCTTGCATGTGATGGTGAATCAAGAATATTATAATTCATGACGAGAGCAAAGACATCCTCCTTCCTCCTCTCCCCCATCTCAAGCTTCATGTAATCAAGTCATCTACAGATCCCAAAGATTTATTAGATGGTTTGTTGACGACATGGCACCCGGAGAGGATAATCGTAGTGTCATCTCCTAGCAGCGATGTTCCAAAGGTAAATCTTTCATCTTAGCCAAGCACACGTTAATTAGCTTTATACAGCCTAAACCCACTACTAGCAGATAGTGTCCTCTTTGGGCTTCCACTTTCGGGCTTTTCTTTCAAGGTTTTTTAAAACGCGTCTGTTAGGGAGAGGTTTCCATACCCTTATAAAGTATGCTTTGTTCTCCTCTCCAACAGAGGTGGGATCTCACAGTTCCACCCGATTGGGTGCCCAGTATCCTCGCTGGCACTCATTCCCTTCTTCAATCGATATGGGACCCCTCAATCCACCCCCCTTCGGAGCTTAACGTCCTTGCTGGCACACCGTCTCGTGTCCACCCCCTTTGGGGCTTAGCCTCCTCACTGGCACATCACCCGGTGTCTAGCTCTAATATCATTTGTAACAGCCCAAGCTCACCGCTAGCAGAATTGTCCTCTTTGGGCTTTCCTTTTCGGACTTCCCCTCAAGATTTTTTAAAACGCGTCTGTTAGAGATATGTTTCCACATCCTTATAAAGAATGTTTCGTTCTCCTCCACAACGGATATAGCATCTCACAAAACCTTACCCTACATTTTCTGCATCAAACATTGACAAGCTACTCTTAATATGCAGGCGTTGCACAAAATAAAAGGAGTAGGGGACCCAAGCTACTGCGGCTGCAACAGTTCAAACAGAAAATGCTGGTGCCATTTCTTGGAGGACGCCAAGATTGTGAACATTGCAGAAACTGAAGGTATATCAGGTCAGTTTTATGGCCTGAAATTGCAGAATAGGGTAGACCAAATAACTTGTATGCGGCTACTTTGGGAGCCTTCTGTGCATTTTGGTAAAAGCATAGGGTCTGATTCATCACCAAACAAAAGACAGTGATGAAGGGCTATGAAGAAATGTTTCATACTAATTAACTTTAGAGTTATATTTGCTGCTTGCTTGGTAATCTGTATGTATTATGTACTATGAGTTCAAATTTCTTTTCCTTTATATAATATAAAGTTCCTACGAAAAATCATATCTCTTTAATTCGGATAAATAAGTAGCATAACTTCAACATGGTTTTTGGTATATTACCGTTGTGTCTCATTGCTTCGCCCATTCATTCACCCACCTATTTATTCGGGAACTGTAAACAAGGTCAAGCGTCAAGAAGAACCTGAGCCATTACCTATTTAGTCAAAAGGTAAAGCAGCGTCTTCATGTACTTACTCATTCACTTCTCCCTATTTTTTCTTTCATCTTCCGGACTGCTATCTTTTATCCTTGAACTTATACAGGAGGAGGTCTTTCTTTGTTTGGTTCTTGATCCTGTCCCTGATTGAACGAAGAGTAAAGAAAGACGAAAGCTTATGAATGAGACTGAACCGGAAGGGCCGAGGAAGACTCAAGATTCATTCTAGTTTACGACCTGATGAACAACCTATTTCCCTGATTGAACGAGGTAAGGCAGCTAATCTAATTCATGGACTCGCCCTGAACCTATACCTATTGATTCATTCTTGAACAGCAAACTCATTCACCTTCTTTCACTCAAACACAAGGTAAGGTAAGTAAAGGGGCTGGATGAAAGGTCAAGCTCATTCTTTATAGGTCTCATTGCTTCGCTCCTTCGCCTCTATTCCTTGAGCTACCTGAGCTGCTGAACCTATCGGTCTGTCTCACAATTTCATGAACTACCTTCCCTATTTATGAATGAACAGTAAGTAAACAAGGGAAAGCCCTAAGGATGAATTCTTGATCTTCTCCTGAACTACTTCCCTTCTTTAACTCTGTCTTGAACAAGGTAAAGCAGCTTAGCTTAGCTTCTCTCCTTCAATCCTTCTTTCACTTTAACCTCCTATTCCTGATTGAACTCAGTCTTGAAGAAGGGAAAGCCAAAAGCAAGATTCATTCTCTCCTTCTTGAACAGTAAACTCCTTACTTCACCTTTGACGATATTACCTATTTATGTATTCTTGAATGGAGCGAGGGTTGAACTATTCTTTCTTTTCTCCTTTCTTTCACTCTGGCTGGCTGGCTCTGAACTATCTCTATTCTTGAGCTCGGCTCGGTAAAGGTCTTTCTACGTCACCCATTTATTTATGAACTGTAAACTAAGTAAACTAAGACGAAACTCCTTATTAAGGAGCTAGATGGAACTCTTGTCACAAGGTAATAAGGTAAAGCAGCTGGATGCGAAGGTCTTTCTCCTGGCCCTGTCCCTGATGTAACTGTAAAAGAGGACAGGAGTCCTTATTTATGATCCGACTTCCATTCTTTCACTCTGTCTTGAGCAAGGTAAAGAAAGCGGCTGGCTGCTGGCTGAAAGGTCTTTCTCCGTCACCTCTCCCTGAAAACACGGTAAAGTGGCTTCGCTCCTCTGTATTCTTTCACTGTAAACTCATTCACCTTCTTGCTTTCACTCCTCTCCCTTTACTTACTGTCGAGCGGTTTCACTCCTTATTCCTATTCCTTCAAAGACAAGGTAAGGCAGCTAATGAGAAAACTCTCCTCTAAACCCTCCTTATTCATGAGACAGAGAGATTGAACTCTGTAAAGCAATTCCTTCCATTGCCGGAACCGGATTGAACTCATCCTTGACAGTCTTTGAATCAATGAGCTGCTTTGAAAGACTTAACAATCGGGGAGACTAAACAAAGAGCTACTGAACCAGAACCGATATGACCTTCAAACACTCCTTATAATTCCCTGTAAACAAAGACTGAACGAAAGATGAATGAGAGAAGAAAGCAAGAACCGACTGATTGAAAAAGACTTCCCTTCGCTCCTGAACTACTTCCCTTCCCTGCCTTCCCTAATTCTGATTGACCAAGGTCTGTTCTCTTTGTTCCTGAACCTTTACACCTCTACAACTCGGTTTCATGTCTTCGACCCTTCTCCTTAACTTAACTCCTTGTTCCCTTCTTTCCTCTCCCTATTGATTCACTGTAAACGAAGAGAAGAAAGAGCAGCGAATGAACAATTTACTCTGTAACCTTATACGACCCAATACTTCCCTTCTTTCATCACTGTAACCTCCTTCCCCTGTCCGAGCATATGAAATCCGGATTGAACTGTAAAAGAGAAATACGAAAGATTCCTTCTCCGATTCCTTCTTTCCTTCCTTTTCCATGAGAGTCACAATTCATTAATTAGCTACTGAACCTCTGGGTAAAGCTATTCCATTTCCTGCCCCGATATGCCCCTCTCTTATCTTTTACAGTTCAGGAAGGGAGACAAGAGAAAGACTCCTGCCTGATTGATCCTACTTCTTCTTTCACGAGGTAAAGCATACCTCTCCCCTGTCCCTATTGGTTGTTATTGGTTACAAGGCTATTGGTGTTTTCTCTCTAACGGACTGAACAGAGGAACCGGAAGGAAAGAAAGAGAAGCTACTTCACCCTTATACGATATATATTCCTTTTTGACCTTATGACTGAAATCCTCCCTTTTAGAGTCGAGCTACTTACTCAGGAACGGGAACTGTAAGAAAAGAAGAAGAAGAAGAAGTTAATTCGACAGAACTACTGAACGAACCTGATTGCCCTCCTCTCCCGTAAGGTCTCGCTACTGACTCCGGAACCTCTTCTCGTCGAGCTTCTTGCTTTCACTCTTGAGACTTTCCTTCGCTACTTCTCCTTTACAGTTCTAGAATGAATTAGTAGCTTTGAAAGACGAAAGTGAAAAAGAGCTAGCTACTGAACCTGAACCTTCTTTCACTTCCTACTCTTAGACTTCCAACTCCCTACTTAGACTTCCAACTCTCTACTGTCTACTTTCACTGACTACTGCTTACACTTCCTCCCTCTCCCTACTTTGAGATTAGACTTCCAACTCCCTACTCATTACATTAAGCGCTATTCATTCATTCCCTGACGAGAACCTATTTACTTTACTTACCTTCAATCCTCTAAGTAAGTAACCTTAACCTGACGAGCAAGCAAGACAAGAAGAAGATTATGAATTAGAGGTACAGGAAAGAAGGGCAAGCTCAAGCTGCTGCTCATTAACCTCTAGCAAGAACAAGAACAAGATTTGTTACAGGAAAGAAGGTCAAGTCCTCTCCTGACGAGCAAGCAAGACAAGAAGATGAATTACAAGAAAGGTGTAGTAAACTCATTCAACTCTAAAGCAAGACAAAGAACAAGATTCACATTACAAGAAAGGGAAGCTCATTCACTCACCTGACGAGCAAGACAACAACAAAGACCAAGATTTATTACAAGAAAGAAAGGTAAACTCATTCCATTCAACTCTAAAGCAAGACAACCAAGAAGATGAATTACGTATAGGTCAAGCTAAACTCTATTGAAGAACTAGACTCAAACAATATTTCTTTATCTTCCCGTACCTTATACTCTATTTCTTGATTGAAAAAGGACTAATTGCTGAATTCAAGTTCACTGTCAGACTCAACCTCAAGCAAACTCCTGTTACAGTCTTTATAAGAGGAAGGAATAGTTTTTCTTTCAAGAAGAAAGCCTTAAGCAAGATTGGTTCACTCCCTCTTTCCCCTGCCTGCCCCGTAACCTGATTGAATTTCTTCTATTATTCCTTAACTGTAAAAGGATGGATGAAGAAAAGCTGCTTGCTATTTTCCTCTGGCTGGATTCTTTCTTTCTTCTCGGTCTGGCTCGCGCCTTAGCTTTGGTTTGTTCTCCTTCACTACTTCAGGCACTCACCTTCTTTCCTCTCCTCCCTTCTTTGCAAGGGTTGAACTCTCTCTTCTTTCACTCACTGTAAAGACTGAACGTCAGATGAATTTAACTGAACCTATTCCTATTCTATTGGTAAAGCTGCTAATTCCTTTCTTTGCTCTCCTGGCGAAACTAAAGAGGATATTAGGATTGTTGGAAGGAAAGACTGACTCTCTATTCCCTGAACCCATCCTTTCCAGTCTCGCTGCTTTGTTTGCTCCTGAACCTTGTTTACAGTTCGTCAAGGGAGAGACTTAAAGCTGAATGATCCTGATGGAACTCATGAACCTCGTAAACAGGGGTTTGTTTGTTTAACTATTCGAGAACAAGAGAAAGCTATTTGAAAAGGTCTCTTTCCCCTTATTCTCTTCTTATTCAATCCTGAACCTCTACACCTCGGTATCATTGGTTCTTTCTCCTTAGCAGGAAGTAAAGGTAAGCCTCATTCATGATCCTATCCTTGAACAAGTAAAGAAAGACGTAACTCCTTATTCTTATTCACATTCTCCTTAACTACTGAACCCGCCCTGGAACCTCGTAAAGTGGCTTCGCTCCGATGCATTCTCCTTAGCTACTTCACTCATTCGACCTCTTGGTCTCACAGCTTCGCTCCTATACCTCTCCTTTGTTTATTCTTATTCCTTTCTTTACAGGAGAGACTAAAAGGAAAGAGGGATTAATCAGACTTGATAGGAGAGCTACTTCCTCTTGAACCTGATTGAACAAAGTCAAGAAAGACTACTTGATCTGCTCCTCTTGCCCACTACAACTACAACAAGGGTTTCACTCCCTCATCGACATTACCTGAGCTACTTCATTCAATCCGAAAGCTCCTACTTCTTTTCCGTAACCTTATACCCTTAATACCCGGCTTACTCTATTTAGTTATTACCTGATTGAACAAAGAAAGATGAATGAGTCGAGTTTACAGTCTTTGAATAAAAGGAAAGAGGGTTAGAAGGTATCCTTTCTTCATTCTCCTTCACTCGCATATGAAATCCTTACCGTATCCTTTCTTTACTTAGAGGAGAGACTAAAAGGGAAGAAGGGAGACTCCTCCTTGTGACTGAGACTGATTGAACTCCTTATCCTCAACTCCTTACTTAATACTCTATTCTATTCCCTTTACAGTCTTTTCATCAATGAAGACGCTTACTTTCCCGTCGAGTAAATGAAAGCGAAAACAAGTACAACTCCGGGGAACAACCTGAGACTTTATTCCCCGACTGATTGAACAAGTAAAGAGGAAAGCAAGACAAGAGTTATTCAATCACCTGTCCGTCCTTTACAGTTAAAGAATAATTCTAGGGAGAGG